GTCCACTCCACCGAATACAATGCGGTCTTCAGCGAGATCAGGAATGTCCGCTGGGACACACCGATTCAATTTTTTGGTGGTCACTATCACATCCGAGACTATGCCCGCTATGATTCCAAAGCGTATGGATTAGCAAGTGGCCGGTTCATGGAAACCATCGGATTCATGTCGATCGATGGCCTCTCCACCGCTGCACGCCAGATCAACCCAGTTTTGACGAATCCTAGTTTTAATCGAAGGTATATCGATAACAACCTATTCTCTTTTCACCACCACACCGGCCTCGCCAGTGATACCTTTCCCACAGTCGAAGGTCGCAACGTATCAAAACTTATCCAAGAAAGTCGAGAGGAACTCCAGCTAGATAAGGTTTATGGGTGCTCCCCAAGGGATCTCTGGATGTCCCGCGTAAAATATCCGAGTGAGGATAGCATATACACCTGGCTTGGGAGCCAGGTACTCCCCGATTCATTGAGAGATGACACTCGTGCCGGGAACCCCGCCCTTGCTATTATCAACACCGGCGCTATCCGCTTCGATATATTCAAGGGTCCCTTTACGTACGACACGACCTTCATAGTGTGTCCCTTTACGAGCGGATTCCGCTATTTGAAAGATGTTCCTTACGACAAAGCACAGTTGATCGTGGAAATTTTGAATAAGCAGCCACAGATTCTTTCCGAAGGCCGGGCTCAAGTAGATTTTCCAACTTGGAACCTAGCACCTCCTGAGCAACAAGCTTTGTCCTCAGACTCTGTCGTGGATCACAATGCAATCGGGCACGATCTCCACATGAACCAGAAACCGCTGCTGGACCTCGACCATTCCGACAAGGAGTCTATTCCAGGATATACTACCGTTGACGATGGTGGTACCGACGGTGACGATACGATTCATTCGTCTATTCCGATGTACCGCGTTCCCAATTGCATTCAATCTCTTGTCCCAGGGAACACATCCGAAACCCCACGAACCGTTGACCTCGTCTACGTTGATTTCATCGAGCCCTACGTGGCTCTTGCTGCAAAGATGGCACGGCTGGACGTGAATTTCACAGAGGATAGTGATGTATACATGCCTTCGATGACACTGAACAGCATGCTTCTGGAGTGGGTGAAGAGCAACTGGATTTGTGATCCTGCATCGCGGTAGCCCTGTCTGTCATTATGTGTTTGTTACAGTCCAGATTAAGATCATCTATATTATACATGGGAAACCGTTTAAATATCTCAATCGCCGCCCTCATACTTCAGTAAGCCCTTACCGCTGCGGTAACCCTCCAGGGTTCCCTGCACACCTGCCGCAAGCTCCGTGCCCTCAGTATCCCACTTCCACTTGATCTCGTCCACGGGAATATCCTTGAACTTGCCCGTCCGGGTCAGCTGCAGCACGTCCCTGATGGTGTTTTCCTTCTCGTGCGGGTTCTTGTCTCCCCACCGGCTCACCCAGAAACCATCGAACACCAGGTTCTTGAAGATCAGCAGCCCAGACGGCAGCGCAACGGGCTGCTTCGACATGGCACCGTAGGTGACCATATGCGAACCGGGCGCGAGACACTTCGCCAGCGCAGTGGCGCTCTTACCACCGACGCAGTTGAGAGCCAGTCGAATGGGCTCCTTGCCCTTGCGAGTAAACTCATTCACCATGTTTCTGAACTCGCCAGAAACCAGCTCCGACTCGGTAATAACAGCGGTAGCCCCAAGCTCCATCAGTTCCTTCTTCAGGACCTCCGTCTCCTCCGGGGTCTTCCGTTCACGAACGACATTGAGCGTCTTGATGCCCCATTCCCGCGCAAGCTGGATAGCCGCGCGTCCGACACCGCTGTTGGCCCCGTTCTGGATGAGCCACTCCTCCCCAGAGCGCAGCCAATCCCACTCGCAGAAATCCTTGATCATGCGGTAAGCAGTGACGGGGTTGACGCTCACAGTGCTGATCTGCAGGGGGGTCAAGCCCTCTTTGTCCTCGATCTTGATCAGCTGCGACTCGTCCATCTGAGCGTGGGTGCGCCACGTGCCCTGGCCCGTCTTTTTCATGACGACCCAGTCTCCCTTGGATAGAGTCTTGACATTGTGGCCAGTTGCGAGTACTTCGAAGGCGCCTTCATTCCCAGCCACAGCCGACGGGTCGTGTGTTCCGAGGTCCGTTTGGAAAGGTGGCTTGCTCGGGTATACACCTTGGATTTGGTTCACGTCGGCGGGGTTGAGCGGCGCGGCGAGGAGACGGAGCGTGACCTCTGTGCCGGAAGGCGGGGAGATGGAGTGTTTGTGAAGTCTGTAGGAGTCAAGCAAGGCTTGTTAGTTTGTTGTAGATAATTTCCCCACGAAACATGACGTCGACGCGTCTGGAGCACAACTTACTGAAGAACATCTTTCGGCTCCCCGTACTGCGAATACACCAGCGCCTTAGCCTGCGTATACCCATACACCGAGATAGACCTTCTATCTCCAAAGGAGGGGCCCGGAGCCCATCCTCTTGCCGCAGTTGCAGCTACCGGGGCATAAGGGCGGGCACCGGCTTTCAAGGTCAGAAACAGAGAATTGTTCCGTGAAGTCTCCACGGCGGTTCGCACAAATCGATGGGACAACATGGTGACGTTCGAATTCGATGTCCAATTGGGTATGTTCGGGTCAAGAAACTGTTGTGAGTCCCAGTTTATCGGACAGCTCTCCACGATTGTCGAAGAGACTGCGGATGACGTCGTTCTTCTAACCGTCGGGCCGACGGAGATTCTAAGATGCCGACTCCAGCTCGATCCAGTATCGATGTAGAAGTTTGTTGACCCATGCTATTTACCCATGAACATTATCAGATTGTATGTATTGCATACTTGTCTCATAATCAGATCTGAGAAATACTATCCTTTCCATGTCTTCGCATACCCCTGTCTCCTGCATATCCCAGATTGATTCAAACCATTGATTAGTCATTATGGTCCAGCCAAGGATGGCAAGCTCGGGTCCGATCATCAGATCGGATCGACTTTATTCTGATAGTCTTTAGCCTGCAAATGATACTGCCTACCTAACTTGTACTATAGTACCTTTATCTCGCCTTAGTGGCTGTGCTAGTAGGTGGTGCGCTTGCAATCACAACCTCGCTATCCTGGAGTGGGCATCCAACAGCTTGTCGCGTATTGTTTCTCTGCCGGAGTTCTAAATGTCTCTTTTGCGCGAAGCCGAAAGATGCATCATTAACCAGTCGAGCCATGCAGCTCTCAATGCCTTTATAACCCCGCTTCAGCGCTCGGGGCAGTGGAGGGAGTGTGTGAGAGAGGCGGACCTTCGAAGTGAGCAAGGTAAGTTGTCTGCTGAATCGTCATGTTAAGCCCCGGGGTATTTCTATAGAAACTAACCAGCTGAAATATATAGGCAAACCAAAGTCCAAAGTAGACGGGCGTCTAGTCTCCGTCAAAGACAACATCTGTACCCGCGAATTCCCAACAACGTGCGCCTCCGCGATTCTGAAAGACTTCTCCAGCCCGTTCAACGCGACAGTTGTCGAACAATTGAAAGATGCTGGTGCCGTCGTGGCGGGAAAAACAAACTTGGATGAGTTTGGCATGGGTTCGCATTCGATATACTCTTCTTTTGGGCCTGTTCAGAGTCCACGGGTGACGCACGACCGAGAGGCCTTGTCGTCCGGTGGTAGTTCTGGTGGGAGCGCTGTAGCTGTCGCTACGGATCAGTGTTTTGCGTAAGTGGAGTCCGTCGCACGCCATGGGCCCAAGTCAAGTGAACAAGCTGACATATGTGTAGAGCTCTGGGTACAGATACCGGTGGCTCTGTTAGATTACCAGCCGCGTATACTGGCACATTTGGATTCAAGCCGTCTTATGGATTGGTCTCCCGGTGGGGTGTGGTCGCATACGCGAACTCGCTCGACACAGTCGGGATATTCGGGAAGAGGGTATCCGATGTTCAGGATGTTTTTGGTGAGTCGTTCTGATCACATATGAAGGCCATCGTACTGACTGTCTTTTGAAACGTAGGCATCTTGAATCAACACGATCGACGCGATCCGACGAACCTTTCTCCGTCTTCGCGTTCCCGAATCCTCTCTAACCTTCAGATGCCGAAATTTGCATCTCGGATGACATCTCGACCCCTCAGAGTTGGATTTCCCGTCGAGTACAATATACAAGAACTTGCGCCTTCAGTTCGCCGTGCTTGGTCCGGCACCTTGGATCGTATGCGGAAACAAGGCCACGCCATCCTTCCTGTCTCTCTTCCGACAACCAAATCAGCTTTATCGGCATACTACGTTCTCGCGCCTGCAGAAGCCTCTTCCAACCTGGCGAAATACGATGGTGTAAGATATGGGACGCGCTCAGAAGGTAGTGACATACAACCAGGGGAAACTCTCTATGCCAAAACCAGAGGAGAGGGGTTTGGACAAGAAGTCCAAAGACGGATCCTCCTCGGCGCGTTCAGCCTGAGCGCCGACGCTATGGACAATTATTTCATCCAAGCGCAACGAGTCCGCCGTCTTGTCCAGAAAGATTTCAATGACGTTTTTGCGGCAAACAAACCTTTGTCTTCTTTGAAACCGAATGAGGACCAAGAACCTGAAGACTTTGGCGTCGACATCCTTATATGCCCGACAGCTCCCTCTTCACCTCCGGAAATATCAAAGCTGTTGGATCCGAGCGCCACTACCCCTCTAGATGGCTACATGAACGATGTGTTTACAGTCCCTGCTAGTTTAGCCGGGCTACCAGCTATCTCCATCCCGTCCACCACGGATTGCCACGAGGGCGAAGATGGGGGCCCGGCCGGGATCCAAGTAATTGGCCAGTACGGTGATGATGACCTGGTCCTACAGACAGCGGAATATCTTGTACGGTCGAGTTCTTGAATATCATGGGCCACAAACTCCTACGGTTGATTTAAGGAGTGCTGCAGCACTTTGACTCCGAATCTTTTCTTTTTTCTTCTCTCTTTTGTTCTCTTCCACATCATTGTACTAAGCCAACCCACAGCCTGTAAATTTCAATGGGTAAGGAGTCAACATTGTCTCCAGTCCAAACAAACGACCTGTCTTATCCTGTTGATTTGGATGGTGGAGACTGGTATCGAAGGCCAACAATCAAGGGGAACTATATGCAAATTGACCACCATCCATGCCATATCAGCCCACGCAAGCAAACTTAGGACATCTCGATGTCTCCACCAGTTGCTGCATTTTCTGGAGCTTCTGCATTCGATATACCTTCAGTACCATCTGCCATAGGCGTGTCGCCCGTGGTATGGCTAGCACCAACCTCTAGCTCCGAAGGAGCCGGCACAGCATTGTTGCCAATGTTTTCAAGAACTACATGGTTCGACACAACGTCTGCAGGCATAGCGGATTCGTACGCAGCCCCAACACCTCCTTTAAGAACCTCAGACCCCCCAACAGCCCCAGAACCCGTGCCATCGATCTCTGCTTTCCCAACGACGTCGCCATCAACGCCGCCCCAGACCAGCATAGCCTCGACCTCATCGACGACGTCGGCCACGATATCTTCAACAATCTGCTCGTTGAACCGCTCTCCCATGCCGCGGACAGGTTCGTCATTGTCCGCATAAGGCGGCGGGCCAAACCACCAAGGCGCCTCAAAGCGACATTCCACCGCACCGCCGTTGTAGCAGCTCACGGCGGGGTAATACCCAACCATGCCGTCATCTGCGTTCTCTCGCTCGCCGAGGCCCAAATTGTTGGTCCCGTTTACGAGTCGACTTGCCGGCGGGAGGAAGGCGTATAACTCCCTGAAAGGAGTGCCCATCTTTACACCGTTTTTGAAGATGGTAATGCTGGACCCGGGGAGGGTGCGCAACGAGGCGTCCTCGGTATTGGTTGGTGACGGTTGACCCAGGGTTGATGTTTCCTTGAGATTGAAAGCGTAATCGCGGAGCTGTTTCGAGGGGAACACGTTCGACTGCTGCCAGTAAAAGTCGGATTTATAATGGAAGGGGATACGATCGCGAATGATGTTCGCGGCGGACGGCGGTTCGGAGTTCGGAGTCGATGCATCGCCATCAACCGCAGGATCATAGGCGCCCTCCACTATTTTCTTATGGAGAGACAGAGGCGGAAGAGTAATGAGTAAACCGATGACATCCCCCTCGCGGATCGATTCGCCTTTCGGGAAGAAATACTCGCAGCGCATCCGATTGACCACCTCTCCATTCACATCACGTATCCCGTAACCGTAGCAGTCAACACCCACGTTGACGTCTAGGTCTGCCTCCCTGCGCGCAAATCCAAGACGCACATGGCCCCTAGAAGGTAATTTCCCGTTCCCGGACGTCTCCGTTGCATCTGGACCCTGCATGACACCGTTGATGATGCGCGCTTCGTAGTAAAAGGTCCCTTCACGCGCACAGACATTTGCGCGCGCGGTATGCCACGGTTCGCTGGTTGTAACGGCGAGGGCGTCTTTGCTGAAGGATATCGCAGCCGGTGAGTCCTCGAAGCTGAAACGGGCGTGGTATGGGCTGACATCAGTTTGGCGGTACTTGATGTGCGGGAACCCTGGGTCGGCGATGGCGTAGCTATAGCGGTATCCGTTCTTATTGGTAAGTTTGTCGGCGACTTCATAGAATTCGTAGTTCTGGCCGATTGTCCCTGATTCTTTCCGAGCCACGAAGTTCATCTGGCGAGGTTGGGGGGGCAGCAAGTCTGATGGTCTTGGCTCCGAAATCAGCAGAGGCCGTAGGATGGACAAGTCCGAGCTCGAAAGGGTGGAGTTCTGGACGGCGGCAGTCTTTTTCTTGGGGGGCGCACTATCCGTGTCGAGCCCTTTCGCTTCGCGCTTTTTGCGACTGTCCCGTTTGTTGCGCTTCGATCTCCCCCCGTCACCCTGGGCGGAGACTATGCTTGGGGCCGCGGGCGAGGATCTGGCATTTTGGTCTGACGGAGGTCCGTTGAAGAAAGGTAGGCTCCCCGGGGGTTGAATTGGAGAATTGATGTTTGATGAGGGGGCCGGGGATCCGGTGGGTTGTGTAGAGGCCATAGTTTGCGGCTGTGGTGGTGCTCCTTGGCACTCGAATTTGGGCCAAGTGGTACTAGGAGGATGACTATATTCAGAGTGATTGTCTCGACGCAACAGGGTGGTTTACGAATGTCACGCTTCTGGCAGAGCTCTTCACGGCCGTGGAATCCCAGGCGGGAAAGGCGAGCTCCCTGAGGGATGACACATGTAGTAACAAGTATAGCTCCTCGGGTGATCAGGCTGGGTGTAGATAGAGTCGATCGATCGGAGGGAATGCGAATTGGCCGTGTGAGATAGTTGTTATGGTCGATGCGAAACGCGCATTGGCGACGAGGATGCAGGGTCCTGGACCGTGGTGGCCGAATTTGGATATGACGCAATTGGAAGCTAGAAAGCCCGATACAACACAAAGTCCCTGCCCCTGTCGTATACGTCAATAGGGAGTAGATATCTCGTAGAAGGCCTGTTTCTACCTATGATTTGGTCAGCTTCGCATTCCAGCAACAATCAGAGAGATGACTTAGTGTCCACGGGATCTCGAACGATTCCTCATTACGAGGAGTTCAGAAGTGGAGCTCCAGCACGTACAGTAGTTCGACGATTGATGAAGGACCTAAAGCGATCTGTATGATTCGCAGTAGATACACAGTAGACAGTCCAAGTCACTCAGGGTTTCTGCAATATCACAAGAGTTGAAGGTGGAAAAAACATAGGCGCAAGATGGATTACTACGTCAAAGGAGGCGGTCAGTAAGGGTACTGCTGGCAAAAGAGCTGACAGCAATCTAAGCGGTAAGCTAAGCGGTAAGGATATCTACCGCCCTCTTCCCCACCTGGAAATTTGGGCCAGCTCGAGGAGGGGAAAAAAGGGCAGAAAAAAAAAGTTTGGCAGCAGTGGTCACATGACCGGAAATTTACACACATTTTCCATATCGTGCTTTATCTCCGCCTTGGCATCCTGGCGATCTAAGTCTCTGAGAAAAAAAAAAATTTGTCCATCCTCGGTCCTGTCTTGCAGTTTCGATTGGGAATACTTTGAACCTATAGCTTTACCCAAACCGAGGGAAGGCAGCCACGATGCCCAAGGCAGCTGCAACTCGCGCCACCGCTGGTGCGCGCAGACATAATCCTCTCGCTGAGGATATCGTTACTGCAGGCCATATTCGGGCCCAGCCCGGCAAAAAGAACAAGCGTGTTTCGCAAACGGGCGAAGACAATGAGGATGGCGAGCGTTTTATCGACGCGAAAACGTCGCGCAAGATCCTTCAAATCGGCCAGGAACTAGCCGACGAGGATGCCGCCGAACGGAAATCTATCGCGGGACCGGTGCCCACAAATGAGCATTCGGCGTTCGACTTTGGCTCTCGACCGGAGGACGATGAATTGCTGTCGGACGACGAAGGAAACATGGAAGAGCAATGGGGCGACGAGGAGGAAGAAGTTGAGGAAGTGGTATGGACACGGCTAGATTCCCAAAGAAACTCTCCATGCTGACTTATTCAACAGGAAGTTGATCCGAATGATCTCGATTTATTCCATAAATTCATTCCTCGCGACGACGAAGACCCGATATTCAACCCCTCGGGGCCAGAATCCCGTGGCCAGAGCACGAACCTGGCTGATCTCATTCTGGAGAAGATCGCAGAGCATGAAGCAAAGCAGTCTGGTTCTGGCGAGAGCGGGCCATTCGTCCAAGGTGGTGGAGCGCCTGAAGATGCCGTTCAGATCCCAGCTAAGGCGATAGAAGTTTATGAAAAGTGAGCACCTTGGACCGGCACTTGCATGTCTAGGATTCTAACATAGACCAGAGTTGGCATGATTCTTTCCCGCTACAAGTCCGGACCTCTCCCAAAACCTTTCAAAATTCTCCCTTCGATCCCCAACTGGCCTACCCTTCTCGATATCACCCGTCCAGAGTCGTGGACCGCCAACGCCACTTATGCTGCAACAAGGATTTTCATCTCGTCCAAGCCTGCGGTGGCGCAGGAGTTCATCTCCATGGTTTTGCTGGACCGTGTCCGCGAAGAGATCCGTGAGACCAAGAAACTCAACGTCCATACGTACAATTCCCTGAAGAAGGCCCTATACAAGCCGGCTTGCTTTTTCAAGGGATTCTTGTTTCCTCTTGTCTCCGGCGGCATGTGTACCCTGCGGGAGGCTCACATCGTCTCGTCGGTCATCTCTCGAGTCTCCATCCCAGTGTTGCACTCGGCCGCCGCATTACTGCGCATGTGCGATCTTTCCGCGGAACAATCCTCGAGATCGCTGGAAAGCACCGGTGCTGTGAATATGTTCATCCGTGTCTTCCTGGAGAAGAAATATGCTTTGCCCTACAAGGTCATCGACGCTCTTGTTTTCCATTTCCTTCGCTTCCGCGCCAACGACGAGGATTCGATCATGGCGGACGGGCACGCGCGCGAAGCCAGCAAAGCATACAAACTTCCCGTGCTTTGGCACCAGTCATTGCTAGTGTTCGCACAACGCTACCGCAACGATATCACCGAAGATCAACGAGAGGCGCTCCTCGACTTGTTGCTGGTTCGCGGACACAAGGATATCGGGCCCGAGGTCCGACGAGAATTGCTGGCGGGCAGAGGACGTGGAGTGGTCGTCCCTGACCCCGAGAGACAGAGCGCTCTTGAAGCAGGAGATGATACCATGGATGTTACGGCGTAGCCGATGTCCATCGAACGGGTCGGGGACCAAGTGCGCCGGCTGGAGGAAGGCGTGTACATTGTGCCCTCCTCAGTCACTTTCTGTTAGATACCTTTTTGGTCTTTCCATTCCGCCTATTTTTCTCCAGGAGACACCTTAACGGCATATGTTTATGTCTCTATGACTTGACATGAGTTTTCCTTGAGTTTATTCATATTTATTTGTGGATAGGAGTTTATCACGGCATTTACCTTGTTTCTTTGTTATGCACATATCCCTTGATCTTGGTTGAATGAATTGCGAATCATGGTCTTTGTAGGCGTAGTAAAATATTTCGATACTCCGACCCAATATGGTTGTGTGGTAACTTTTTCATGAAATATACTTAAAAAGTCCATTGAAATCAATGTACATGTGGCTTACCTAACTGAGAAGGATGCACTAGATGGTCTGGGTACTCCTCGGGCTGATCCCTGTTACAGATCGGGGTGACGTTGCCACACAAGGCTCCCCTCACTCATTCTAGAATCTTTCGACCACGAACGTTGCCTCCCACTTGCTTGCGCCAGAAACTGCCTCTCACCTACTCGACTTTGACATCTTTCTCACTTTTTTGTCTTCGACTTTCGCGGTCTACTTGATATATACGTTGGAAATATCCATTTTCCATAACCAACCCCACAAAAAAGAAAGCGAAACCAGAAGAAGCGTCCCACCCCCGCCTTAATCAAAATGGTTCGCAAGGATCCAATCTTCGAAGCCCGGACTAATGTCAAGGTTGGACATCCTTCCCGTTTAGTTTCATTAATCGGGGTAGCTAATCGAAAACATTTTTGAATAGTTACATTCCAACAGGCTCAAAAAAGAGGCTTCTCGCGCAGAGTCCACCTTCAAATCCGAGAAAGCCAAGGCCGACAAGGCCATGAAAAACCGCGAATTCCAAATCGCCCGCATCCATGCCTCGTCCGCTGTGCGCGAAAAACGCCGACAGGTTACCCTGAGAGCGGAAGCCGCTCGGGCTGATGTGATAATCAACGAGCTCAAGGCGGCGCAGAGCACTCGCGACACTTCTCGGACGCTGGCGCTGGCGTCCCGGGGTCTGGACGCCGCATCGAAGAGTGTCAACCTTGAGCATCTGGTCTCTCACGCGAACAACTTCCTTGCACGCTCGGAAGATTTCAAGATCGCTAGTAGTGCTATTGAGGATGTCGCCTCGGGGATCTCGATGCAGGAATACGGTGCGGAGGGAGAGACTGATGTTGACCGTTTAATGGAGCAACTTGCTGATGACGCCGGCGTCGATATGCGAATGGCTTTGGAAACAAACCCGGCTCCGAAGGAAGATGTCAAAGATCAGAAGCAGACCGACACGGAACTCGAAGATGGGCTGGGGGCCAGGCTACGTGCTCTTCGCGCGGCGAATTAAACCAGCACCGGGCTTTCTCGATCCTTTTCGTCTGGTAGGATTGTGGAAGGTGGTGTCTTGACAGCTGCACATCTATCCCTTTCGTGCTTTAAGATTTGAACTGTCAACCCCCATGCAGTCCCGTTTTCACTTTTCTTCCCTATGGATATTAATGAAGTTACGCCCTTTTTATGGTAATAACACGAGCCTCTTTTTTTTTGGAATTGTTTCTAATTTCCTGTAACAGCATATCTCTTATACGATGTTCATGGCATGTTTTCTAAACCATTTTTTCTAGGCGGGCGACAGGTGATGGTTGGGAACGTGTTTCGGGGTCCTTTCTAGCATTGTCATACTCTTTTTTCAAACCGTGATGAACAAGTATCTAGTATGGCATGTTTCTTTATACAAACTGTTCGAAGGTGAAATCACCAGTTGCCTGGCTAGCTCAATCGGCAGAGCGTGAGACTCTTAATCTCAAGGTTGCGGGTTCGACCCCCGCGTTGGGCTTATGTTTTTCTATTTTCTACTTTCTACTTGGCTGTAAGGTGTTTTTTCTTACAGTGTCTGGCTTATTCGCACGTTGCATTACGTCTATTCCTGGTTATGTCTTGATCTTTTGCTGTTACGGTTGTGGTAGCCAATTCTCTTACATGGTCAGCCTCGCGGACTATTCAGCTCTGGTGACAACTTCAAGGGAGATCGCTTTCTTCCCTCTTCATTACAGTATGATATGATTACAGTATGATATAACAATTCTATGACGCCGCAACCCCCACCAAATCCCTCTCATAATTATGGATCGTCTCAATCTTCTGCGCACTGGCACTCTTCGGATCGAACCGATGCTGCACCCACTCCGACGCCAACTTCTTCGCCAACTCCACCCCGATCACCCTCTGCCCAAAGCACAGAACCTGCGCATTGTTGCTGAGCACCGACCGCTCCACGCTGAACGGGTCATGCGCGGACACCGCCCGGATGCCGGGGACCTTGTTCGCGGAGATGGCGACGCCCATCCCGGTCCCGCAGATCAATAGCGCGCGGTCCACTTGGCCGGCGCGGACGAGCAGAGATGCGTGGACGGCGGGATGGGGGTAGGCGGTTTTGTCAGCCGGCGAGTCGACGCCGACGTCTGTGACGGATTCCACGAGCGGGTGGTTTTCAAGGGCCTCCTTGACGGCTTCTTTGTAGTCGTGGCCGGCTTCGTCGCAGGCGATGGCGATCCTTAGGGGTGTGGTGTTGACGGTTGCCATTGTGTTGGTTTTGTTGATGTTGGACTTTAGGATGGAGAAGTTGTTTTTGTTGTTCTGCAAGGGGGTATTGATGTTGGGAGGTTTGATGTGTCATGGACTTCTCCGAATGCACACATGCACGCAGAGACTCCAGATGTTATATATGAACACCTCCCTCCCTGAGAATGGACGGTTGCAGTCACCACTTTTTTAAGCTCAGATGGATCGGTCAACCTTAATGCCAATCAGTGTCAACTGTCTATGACGTCGGCTCAAAAGCTTATTGAATGGAGTAGCGGACTATTCCGCTACTATTCATCGAATAAAGTGTTCTACATTGTTCTAGGCCAAATTAGAGATGTGTTGAATCTCTCTAAGAATAAAAAGGCAAGTTATCGCAACTGCGCAAGAGATTATCCATGATTATCCCCTATATCTTCATTTGTTGTTGGAGACGACGCCGCATGCGGTTTTCTTATGTGCACCATGGCCTTATCCGTCAATTTGATAAAGAATAAATGGGACACTCGTTGTTCCTTGATATTCATATATATATATAATTATGTATGGTTGTTTCAATAAAGAAACTTCCTAAAACAGTTTCATTTGATTCAATGGATTGTTCTGCCTGTACTGCACACTATATATAATATGCAACCGCCCCATCCTTAAATTCCATCACAATGGGGTAGTTAATAGAATGTTGCGTCTCGAACGCCCAATGCCCATACTTTGCTTCTTTATCTGGCTCCACAAACCACTCCATTCCCCACCCGGGGTTTCAATGACCCCATAATCATACTCTCCTACTCTATTGTACCAAGGATAGTGGGAGGAGACAGTTTTGTTATGGTGATGGTCGCCACGATGGAACAGCCTACGTTGAGGCTGTTGTGACAACAACAGCCACATCTCAATACCAAATGCTCATACGTCACATGGAAGGCCGATAGCACACAGACATGATTTGGTTGTCGTGGTGCTCTAAACGGAAACGATGAGCATTCTATCTCATTCCTTGCGATAATAACTGACGCTATTTCGTGATCGCCACAGTTGATATTATATTTTCGTGCTAAATATGCGGTCCAGACTTTCTTCTGTATGAAGGGAGTCTACAGAGATGAGAATGCACAGCTTAATAAAGCGCCCTATTGGGCTGATATTCGAGTATTCAAACACCCAACACCCGTGATACCGCCAAAAAGGCAATATCTTCATCAGTACTATCCGTGGTCATATGTCATTTTACACGATGATGGTCTTAAGTTATCTGGTTAAAGTGGTGGATGGTGGATGTGATTCATGGGAAGGTCTACCGAGGACTGTGAGTCTCCGTCTTGGCCACAGGTGGCAGAAGAGCCCGCCAGACTCTTTTGCATTGGAACAATGACGTTAATCTTAATCAGCCAGGAGAATTCACCAATCAGCGCAACAGTTCGGTCGGCATGCCGGCGGGATGGGATTTCCCAGTTCTAAAGCCAGGCCATTTTTCCTTGTCTTGGCCCTCTGGGTCCACACATATGCCGATTATTATAGGCTTTGCCTCTGGATCCGCATTTCGCGCCCACCACGGCCCTCTCTCGGTGGAAACTGGGAAAGAGTCGTAAACCAGTCGACGATGTCTACGTCATGCTGCCCTGGAAGTGCCTCAGATTGTGGCCACCGTCCATTTGCCACGCGGGAATATAACCATGCCCGACACCCCAATCGGCCAAACCCTTTTTAACTCTATTCACCATATTGCCCAGCACAAACACACCAAACAAAATGAGAAAGACAGTTTGCTTTTCCGGTAAGCCACAAGCCAGGAACACGAGCCAGGAACGAAAGATCCCCGCCGGACGCTAACTACCATATTGTAGATTTCGATGGCACCATCTTCATGCAAGACACGGGCCATGTGCTCGTCGACAATCTAGGCTGCGGATCGAAGCATCGGCAGCTCATTGAGGAGCAGATCAAGTCGGGGCAGCGGTCCTTTCGCGAAGCCTCCGAAGAGATGTGGGGTTCGCTCCAGGTTCCCTTCGAGTCTGGGTTCGAAGTCATGGAGAAACAACTAGAGATGGACGAAGGCTTCCAAGATTTTCACCAATTTTGCATTGATAAGGGTATTGATTTCAACATCATTAGCGCCGGGCTGAAGCCTGTCCTACGGAAGGTGCTGGACACTTTCCTTGGAGAAGACAAGGTGCGTTTAGAATCTTATCTTTTTTACCCTTTCTATTTGCTTTTTTCTTTTCTTATTCATACCTCATGTTTCACCATTACTTTGGCTTTGGGTGTTTCGGTTTCCTCCTTTGGTATACCGAACAATGATATAACTAACCCAACGATAGTCTTCGAAAATTCAAATCGTGGCCAACGAAGCCGACATCGGTAGCGATGGGTCGCAGTGGAAGCCCATTTGGCGACATGAAACTGAACTGGGTCACGACAAATCTATATCCATGAAAGAGGCTCGTGCAGAGGCTGCGGCAGATTGCATCGACGGCGAGATTCCTCTCATTATTTTCATCGGCGACGGTATCTCTGATCTGGCAGCAGCTCACGAAGCAGATGTTCTGTTTGCACGGAAAGGTCTTCGCTTGGAGGAATACTGCATCGAACACAAGATTCCGTACATTGCCTTTGAAAGTTTCTCGGATGTGAAAAAGTCTTTGGAGAAGATCATCAAGGAAGACGAGGAGAAGACCGGTGGCGTGGGAACGCCGGCGCGGTTTAACCCGCGTGCTAATATGTGGAGACGCATCTCCAGCAGACAAGCGGTACGTTGGGATTATATCTGATTTGAGTATAGGACATGGCTGATTTGAAATGCCCGCAGGTTCCTAAGCTCGTTGCCGCGACACCGAAAGAAGAGAAGATGATGTTCTGGCCTGAGACCTTCTCCGAGTATCAGCCCATGACCGATGCGAAAAAGGTGTCCACTTAGACTTTGGTGTTATAGCTGGGTGTAGGTCCATTCACGTTGGCGTTTTTGGAACATACCCTAAGGAGTCTATTTTCTTGATTAGATAGAGTACAAATTATTCTTCTATGTATATACATATTATAAATCTTGTTCATATCATCGTTATGCGGTCTCTAGACATGCACCGTAGCACCTCAAGAGTTGCTCAAGTACAACCACGCACTATCAGGACAACTTAGGCCCTCTGTTCAATCTTAATGCTATTTGATTCAGGGGTCCCAATGAAGGGTTTCATCCTCCTGACACAGTAGAATTGAACAATGCCCGTACTCAAGACAATGGACCACGCATGTCAATGAGGAAGTATGAACCAACAAGTTCAAAGATTCAAGTTAATGATATTCCTAGACAACAAAGTCCGAGGTTCACCTGCCGCATTGCGCCATTTCGCGATCGTCGCGTACAAACGGCGTATCCAACGTATTCGACGTATTCGTCGTATTCCGGCCTCTCTTCTCCGCACGAGCATCACAACTACTCCATAAGTGGTAAGCGGCCTAAGCCCCTTGAAGATCGGTACTTCTTCTTCCCCTACCCACCCCGCATGAACCGGCAAATAACGGTTGATAGGGTTGATATTAAAGGATGAATTCCCCAGACCCATCCTAATGATGATCTTCAGCAACAATCTGAATGTGACATAACCGAGGTCGGCATTGAACTCAATCAGCTGTTAAGCCGTCCTTGTCTAGACCCGAAGATGGGCCAGGAGAATGGCGACTATAATTCCCCCGCAAGTCCCCCTTTGCCCTCTGGGGGGCAGGAGGAATTCCCGTGGATCGCATCACTCCCCGCCACAACATGAAGATCCCGACCATCCTGTCGTTCGGCGCCCTGGCGGCAGCCTCGAGCATTGACGTGTGCGAGAAACTTCACAAACATTACCCCGAGTACACTGTGTGGGACCCCTTGAGCCCGCAAGGCCCCGAATCCGCCCTCAATGCCTCCATGTACCGGACTGCGCGCTCCGAGTATTGGAATGGAGTCAATGCGAGAAACCGTCCGGCGTGTATCTTCTTCCCGTCCAACGCCGAGCAGGTTTCCGACGCCGTCAAGCACCTGAACGAGCATCCCAACGCCGAATTCGCTCTCAAGTCCGGTGGCCACAACTTCAATGCGGGCATTTCAAGCACGGCAGGAGGGGTCCTGATCTCTTTCAACGAGAACCTCTCCTCGGCGACCCTGTCCTCCGATGGCAAGAGCTTCGAGGTGGGTCCCGGTGCCAGATGGGGCGATGTCTATGAGGCGGGGGCCAAGGACAACAAGATCGCCGTTGGAGGCCGACTCTCCAACATTGGCGTTGGCGGCTTCATTCTGGGAGGGGGTCTCTCTTACTTGTCAGCTCAATATGTAAATAAAACCCTTGCCCTTTTGAAGCATAGGGACGCGAATTTCTGACAGATTGCTAGGGATTGGCCTGTGACAACGTGATCGACTTCGAGGTGGTCCTCGGAAATGGCACAGTCACCCACGCGAACAGCAAGACCAACCCAGACCTCTGGTGGGCACTGAAAGGAGGCGGCAATCGCTTCGCCATCGTGACCAAGTTCACCTTGAAAGCGCACCCCGCCGGTGTGGACGGCAAAGTCTGGGGTGGTATCCGGTTCTATTCTCGCAACGACCGACAGGCCGTCTTCGAGGCCGTGTCGGAGTTCGTCCGGGACTACCCAGACCCCAAGTCCGCCGTCATTCCGACCTTCGACTTTGGTCTACCGGGAGCAGCCGTGTCCAACCCGGCTCTGTTCTTCTTCTACGATGGACCGACGCCGCCTGCGGGTGCGTTTGGAAGCTTGGACAAGATCAAGCCGTTGCTGAACACCACGGACACCACGACCTATCCCGAGCTGGCCGACCAAACGGGTGGAGGCAAGATCTATGGCATTAACGCGGCAGCCAGAGTGAACGCATTTCCCAACCTGGACCCCAAAAAGACCAGCGAGCTTTTCGAGGATCACTGGAAACTATACCAGGACCAGATCAAGAACGACTCGAGCCGGAACATTGACATCCAGATCGGCACGTTCACCCCCCAACCCGTATCCGTCCTGATTGCCAAAGCTTCGCAGGCCAACGGGGGTAACGCCATGGGACTGCACCCCGACCACGGGGACCGCATCTGGGTAGAGAATGACCTGATCTGGGTGAACCCCGTATGCAACAACGCGTGCCCGACATATCTGAAGAATATGGGAGACGGTGCCAATTCCAAGTTCGACGAGAAGTTCAAGGGACAGAAGCCCACCAACTACAAGTCCGGCGATGTGGAGTTCATCTCGTAAGAACCCTCCCCCCTTCTCCTTAGTTGTCTATCCGTGGAAATACTGACGTGGATATATCAGGCAAAACCCGCTGTTCATGAACGATGCCGCTGATTATCAGGACGTGTACTCGAGTTATGGAGAGGAGAATAAGGCGAAGCTGCAGAAGGTTGCCAAGGCTTATGATCCGAAGGGTTTCATGAAGAAACAGGGTGGTTGGGACCTGTAGTCGGACGGTGTATGCATCCGTGTGGTCCGGCCGTCAGGGTCAGGAGTATGTCCGAGTGTGGCCATGTCCACTGAGAGTCAATATAGTATGAGGTCAATAGACAGTCAAAAGTAGTCAGCTCGGTCCCTTGGTTGTAAACTCCACAGGAAAATCCCCAGTCATCCAGCGCTCTTTATTCCTTTGTGTTCGCTGTAAGATGAATAGCACGGACTTGTGACGGCTATCTGAGTACCCTACCCATAGATATGAATGAATCTTTCCATGGCAATTTGCTTAAGTAGGAATTACTCCAGGTAAACGAGGGAAACCCCTTGATTGATGCAGTGACATGACGTCATGGTACCTCGATAAAAGCGACGCTTTTGATAGTGAACCTTATCAGATGCATCATCCAGCTTATCGACTCTCACGGCCATGATCAGATCACTTTTCAGCAATTACAATGTCTCATCATTCATCTCTACATCCTGTTCTTTCTTACCTGAAGAGTCAGCTGAAGAGTCAGGGACCAGAAGGACCTGAACCGCATTGCAACGTAGTGGTGACGGGTTGACACCTATGTAGACGTCATTGACTTGCCGTCTTCGACTTATCCGTCACACGAACACAATAGTAGTGCGTAACAATGTTGCAGAGGATGTGCTCGTCAGCGAGCTTATATATCTGCTGGCGCTCAGGAACTCGCTTCGAATGTGGAAGTACTGATTTACCCGCTTCGTTCTGTCTTACCCACATGTGGCAGATCTTTGAGGACGGATAACCACATCTATCATCAACAGTAACCCATCGCAAGAAATAGGTATGTACTTTGTATATCTTCTACTGACTAAACCTCACCTTGGTCGCCATTGACTAACTCCACGGCAGATCAATCATGGCGTCGAACGCGGACAAAGCCAGCATCACTGTCTATGGCCCAACTCGCTCCACAGTGAAGGGCGAGCCCCTTGAGGCGCAGGAGCTGAAAAAGATGGACACGTACTTCCGAGCAAGCATGTACCTGTGTCTTGGTATGCTCTTTCTGCGCGACAACGTTCTCCTGAAGGAGCCCTTGAAAGTGGAGCATCTGAAGGCTCGACTCCTGGGCCACTGGGGTTCGGACGCCGGCCAGTCCTTCACCTGGATTCACATGAACCGCCTGATCAAAAAGTACGACCTGGACGCGTTTTTCGTTTCCGGTCCGGGCCACGGTGCGCCAGGCATTCTGTCGCAGGCGTACCTGGAGGGCGTCTACTCTGAGGTGTACACCGACAAGAGCGAGACCGAGAAGGGCATGCAGAAGTTCTTCAAGCAGTTCTCTTTCCCCGGCGGTATTGGTAGCCATGCTACCCCTGAGACACCGGGCAGTCTCCACGAGGGTGGCGAGCTTGGGTATTCGATCTCGCATGCCTTCGGCAGCGTCTTTGACCATCCTGACCTGATCGCCTTGACGATGGTGGGCGACGGTGAGTCCGAGACCGGGCCTCTGGCGACAAGCTGGCACAGCACGAAGTTCCTCAACCCTATCACTGACGGCGCGGTTCTTCCTGTGCTCCATCTCAACGGATACAAGATCAACAACCCGACCGTCCTGGCGCGTATCAGCCACGAAGAACTGTCGAATCTGTTTGCTGGCTACGGCTGGACTCCGTACTTCGTGGAAGGCAGCGACAGGGAGAGCATGCACCAAGCCATGGCAGCAACCCTGGAGCAATGCGTCGTGGAGATCAAGAAGTATCAGAAGCAGGCGCGAGACTCCGGAAAGCCATTCAGGCCCCGTTGGCCCATGATCGTTCTCCGAACCCCCAAGGGGTGGTCTGCCCCGAGAGAAGTGGACGGAAAGTACCTTGAGGGATTCTGGCGCGCGCATCAGATCCCCCTTCCCGATGTTCTCAAGAACCCCGCCCACCTGAAGCTGTTGGAGTCATGGATGAAGAGTTACAAGCCGGAGGAATTCTTCGACTCGAACGGAACGCTGAAGCCGGAGCTCAAGGCCCTTGCACCGAAGGGAAACTCCCGTATGAGTGCCAATCCCGTGACCAATGGGGGCTTGCTTCGCAGGCCCCTCGACATGCCGGATTTCCGTGACTACGCCTTCCCTGACATCGAGCCCGGTGTCTCGATCCGCGGAAGCATGATCAACATGTCGAAGTTCCTGCGAGACGTGATCGCGCGGAATATGACCTCGTTCCGGTTGTTTGGACCGGATGAGACCGAGTCCAACAAGCTGGCTGAGGTTTACAAGGCCGGCAAGAAGGTGTGGATGGGCGAGTACTTCGAAGAGGACAAGGACGGAGGCAACCTCGCTCCGGCGGGCCGTGTGATGGAGATGCTGAGCGAGCATACCTGCGAGGGCTGGCTGGAAGGCTACATTCTGTCTGGCCGACACGGTATCCTGAACAGCTACGAGCCGTTCATCCACGTCATCGACTCCATGGTCAACCAGCACTGCAAGTGGATCGAGAAGTGCCTTGAAGTCGAATGGCGTTCCAAGGTCGCCTCGCTTAACATCCTTCTCACGGCCACCGTGTGGAGACAGGATCACAACGGCTTCACCCACCAGGACCCAGGCTTCCTGGACATCGTCGCCAACAAGAGCCCGGAGGTGGTCCGCGTCTACCTCCCACCCGACGGGAACACGCTGCTCTCGGTCATGGACCACTGCTTCCGCAGCGTGAACTACATCAACGTGGTGGTCGCCGACAAGCAGGACCACATCCAGTACCTGAACATGCAAGAGGCCATCGAGCACTGCACCAAGGGCGTGGGGATCTGGGACTGGGCGAGCAACGACCAGGGCCAGGAACCAGACGTGGTGATGGCGGCATGCGGCGACGTCCCCACCCAGGAGGCCCTCGCAGCCGTCACACTCCTCCGCGATCATCTGCCCCAGTTGAAAGTCCGATTCGTCAACGTGGTCGACCTGTTCCGATTGATCTCCGAGACCGAGCACCCACACGGCATGTCAGACCGCCACTGGGTGTCGATCTTCACGGACAACAGGCCCATCATCTTCAACTTCCACTCTTACCCGTGGCTCATCCACCGCATGACCTACAGGCGTCCGGGGCAGTGGAACCTGCACGTCCGCGGATACCGCGAGAAGGGCAACATCGACACGCCGTTCGAGCTGGCGATCCGCAACCAGACCGACCGATACAGCCTGGCGATCGACGCTATCGACCGTTCTCAGCATCTGGGGAACACGGCTTCGGGGGTGCGGGAGAAGTTCATTAATTGGCAGCTGGACGCCAAGGTGGCGGCCTATGACGACGGGATCGATCCCGACCACATTCGGAATTGGACCTGGAAGTACCCGAGAGTGAAGCAGGAGTAGGCATTGCTATATAATATGCGATAGTTGTTTTCATTCACTGTTTATATATGTTGTCAGCTGCGTTTCGTCATTCTCCAGGACTGTAATTTTATTGTAGTGCGCTTAGTGAGATATGGTTTTGGTAAGACATAGTGAGACAAGAGAATATAATAGAACGGCAATTGCCAGCACGAAAGATCATATTTCGGACTCGTAAGTTGAAGAGGGTCAATGAACCTATATTCGAAGCTGTATACGAAGGTAGATGCACGTAAGGCACCAAGGTATCATCCGGACAGCCGATCTGGAGGCAGCATTGTCCAGCCAATCACAACGAATGATGCATCAACTAGTCAGCCGCCTCACCGCCTCCTCTCACCGCCCCGAACTGCCGGGTGGCTACAAGGTAAAAAATAAAATAAAAAATAAAAAGAAGAATTTCCCCGACCGGGCCAGACCGAAAATCCATGATTAAGTTTTCTTTTCCTTCATAAAAGAACAAGTTGCTGGAGCAGCAGAGGACGCTTGATTTCCCTTTTGATACGCGTCGATCTCGTCATACTTGAGAATATGCAGTCCCATGTCCACAACCCAGCCGATCCGGCTTCGGATTCGTTGCCCCCGACTCTTCCGACTGATGAATTGGCTGGCCAAAAGGGCGGTTCAGCTTTCGGATCATGGTCTCATTTGATAGCCGGCGCGTGAGTGATGTCTCTCACCGATGCCTGTCTCTGCGATATGCTAATCTCTGATATGTATAGAGCCGGTGGTATGGTCACAGCGGTCTTGACCAGTCCGCTCGATGTTCTCCGAACACGGTATGCTGACACGTCCATATCCTCGCGATGTCCGCGCACAAGGCTAATCAAACGATAACGCGCAGGTTACAAACCGACTACTATCAGACCCAGTCAGCCGGTCGCTCAATCAAAGCGCCGCATCCCCAGTTCCGCCAGTCCTTCTACCGCTCATCCATCGTCCATTTCCGCGAAACGTTTGCCATCCTCTTCAACATCCATGCCGTCGAAGGCTGGCGCGGGATGTTCAAGGGCCTCGGCCCCAGTCTGACGGGCGTTGTCCCCGCCAGCGCGGTCAAGTTTTACGCATACGGCAACTGCAAGCGTCTTTATCCGGAGCTCTTGGGGCTCGAGAAGGACTCGACGCTGGTGCATGCCCTGTCGGCCGCCAGTGCGGGCGTGGCGACGGGTTCCGCCACCAACCCGATCTGGGTCGTCAAGACCCGTCTACAGCTTGATAAGGCCGGCGCGCGGCGATATAAGAACAGTCTGGACTGTTTGAAGCAGATTATACAGCAGGAAGGCCCGAAGGGTCTCTACAGAGGTCTGACGGCCAGCTATCTGGGCACCATCGAAACGACGCTGCATCTCGCGATGTACGAGAAGATCAAGGGATTGATGGCGAAGGAAATCGACCTCGAGGGGAGCAAGGACAATCAGCTAGTTCAGGGCTTGGCGCTGAGCGGAGCTTCCGGACTTTCCAAGCTATTCGCATGCTTGATCGCGTACCCTCACGAGGTAACACCCCATTTTTCACCATACATTGCACAGTCGATCTAATATTAAACAGGTTATTCGCACCCGACTGCGCCAGGCCCCCATGGCCGACGGCCGACAGAAGTACACAGGCATCCTCCAGTGCGCGCGACTGATCCTGAAGGAGGAGGGCATGATCGCGCTGTACGGCGGGTTGACGGCGCATCTTCTCCGGACGGTGCCGTCGGCGGCGATTACCATTGGGACGTATGAGCTGGTTCTCAAGGTCCTGGAGGGACGGTGATTGTATTTCTCGAAGAGAGGCGAGGCCTCCTGACTCCCCCTTCATGTATTATAATAGATGTATGTATGATAGATATAGAACAGGCTGCTACGATACCCTGTATGATGAAATTGGACATTCAGCGGGTGTTTCTTTTATTCTTGTTCGTCGGAGAGTACTCCGTCGTGTTCAATACTTGATGCTACGAGTATCCTCGTTTAGCGGTAAAGGGCTGATGTAGGCCAGGTGGTAACAACTTAAGTTATGGTATTCATATCAAATACGGAGTGGGACGGAGTCAAAGTGATCAACGGACTTAGTACTGGAGTATTTTATAGTACTGTAGGTCCTAAGTAGGCATCAGTTTCTTTTAATAACAATAAAACAGAATGAGACAAAAGAAAGAAAATAAGATGAATAAAAAACACCGACAAGATGAAATAAACAAACCTATATCTGGCAGATGATATAACGCAAATAAAATAAATAAAAAAATAAATAAAAAAAAAGGGCTGAAAGGATCGCTCCGGTGTCAACGGCGAAGAGACATATGTAATAACCCGTGGATACGAACGAATCCACCAAGTGATTTATTTAATCTTTTTGTTTTTCCAATTCTTAATCGGATCTGGGCTGGATGATCGCCGGTGGACATCAGGGTAAGGTAGATCGGACCACTTTCCGATCGTTTAGATGGAACTGTTCGACGGATAGTTACTCCGTATAGAATCAACTAGGTATTAGGGAGGATAGGGCAACCTCCAAAGACCATTAACGAGGACGATCAATCAGACGGCTGTAGGGTACAAAGTACTTTGATGGTACTGATCGAATTGCTATAATAAACCAACGGAACGAAAAAGAATAACTCAATAGATAGCTCGAATTTGGTGGCGGGTTTGGCGTCTTTCTAGAACATCCACTGTGGGTCTTATTTTTTCAATCATTCATATATATATTTTTTTATATATTATTTTATATGTATAAATTTGAAGACAGGGATTATTAAATCCTGACCAGTCTGCTGGGAATTATCCGCATGGATGGATTAAAGAAATGACGCACCCTATAGAGGATTCTAGCTTTGTTTCCGGTATACAGTATAGCATATAGTCTATCATGTTGACACTTCGATGCCCAACTGGATATCCGCCCAAGACTGAGTAGAAGACTCTCAAATCAGCCAACAACGCGAGGCGTGATCCATCTGGTTACACCGGGACGCTGCTTGAGTTGGCCGGCTCCACTTTGTTTCAGGACGGGTGTCTTGCTTTTTTGTTCTAGTTGTTGGAAGCAAACAGATCTTCTAGGGGATTATAGCATAGAATTCCAGAAAACATAGAACGATTAGGAGGAGAAAGGAAGATTTGATACTAGAGCGGACATGCGTAGTATACGTCCCGACAGCTGTAGAAGTCAATCTACTCTGTAATATTCAATAAAAATTAGATGCAAATGCGAGTTTAATGCTAAGTAAACGCTCGTGGTATATAAGACAACAAAAGAAGAAAAAGAAGCGATGCAAAAACGCCCATGCCAAGAATAACCCAACTCCGCCGATAATCCAATGCGAGAACGATCATGATAACGCGTTTGAAGGGAGATGCGCGAGGCTAGCCCGACAGGTTGGACTTTTGGGCCTGACCGTTGACCATCCTTTCTTTCTCTGTTTAGGTTAGATTTGAATTCTACTATGAGGAGGGGGATGGAAGGTTGGGATCATACCTCGGGCTTGTTGAATCTGGCGAATGGTGTCGTTGTGGATTTGCTCCCAGCGGGCTTGGTATTGAGCGAGATCAGAGGCAGAAACGGTGCCATTTGGTTGTTTGGTTGAGTCTGTCTTGTCCATGATAGCTAGGTAGATTGGTTGGAGGTTTGGTCGGAGATATTGGAGGATGGGATCAAGTGGTCACAAGGAGATGTAGTGACAGAAAGGTTGAAAAGACTGAGACTGAGACTGAGACTGAAGAGACAGAGACAGAGGATAGAAGGATGATGGTGTGTTGTGAGAAGCTCTGAAAGACAGGGAGAGAAGTATTTATAGAGGATTCAGAGTCACGATGATGGTACCACCAACATCCACATCCACTTCCACTTCCGAGACGACTCTGACCAGCATGATCTTTGTCAATCATTTCCCGTCCCCTTCAACCTAGTCAAAGTCGACCTGGTCAGAATAGACCTGGTCGCACATCGCCATGTGGTTGTGGTTCGGGATGGAACCAAGGGCGGGTACCCTTTCCTTTGGATCCCGGCTTCCCCGTCAGATTGGGTCTGTATCCTTTCTTTTCATTTTCATTTTATTATGATTTCGGACCTTGTACTTTGGTCATGGATGGTTGAAACGGTGCCGGGGAGACGGGTCGTTCTTTCAGTCTCCCTTGCGTGGATCAAAGACAACGGTATAGATCGGATGGATCATGGATGGATCATTTATCAGTGGATTGGGATTCCGATTGGACGGGGAAGACTTATTCGATGGGTACTTTCACTTGGTACTTTCATACCTATATACCTAGGAGACTATTAGAGTCGATCTATCAAGATACTGTGGGACAGCATGTCGGGAATTCGGTCAGGCTGTTATTGGTTCTTACTTTCCGTGACTTCATTGTTTGGGTTCCGTCAACTGGCATATCCCACAGTAAGGTACTTTGCTTCGAACACCAATTCATAAATCAACATACAAGAAAACAAAGAATATATGAGATCCACTCATTCTTCACTCATTCTTTCAGATCTGATTTGTTGACGATTATTGATCTATACCAATGTACCATTTTTCATAACCGCCCATAGCGATGCCTGTCCGTCTGATTCGCCGGCTCATCTCCGGCTTTTTTATACACGGTCGTCATGACATCAGACTTCTTCAGCTGTCAATCAGATCAACACCATGACAGACTCACGATTGACATTGTTCCTATCCTCCTATCCTCTGGTTACTCAAATTTGTCTCCATCACGGCCCAGCTTCACCGCCACTTCTACTCCATCATCCCCCTCCCTCCTCATCCACACCGCCATCGTTCGAATCCAATCGTGTCGGTCCACTTCGGGATCCCTGGAAATGATTCCCGACGGTCATTCCTCCCTCCTTTGGCGGTGTGGCGTCTAGGGATCCTGGCCAGGGAATATCTCCTACATCCTACATGCCCAAAGAGCTCTCGGAGTAAAGGCAAACGATCCTACGATGCGACCATGAAAACAAAACAACAAAGACGGCCCGGTCCCAACGGCAGCAGACCTGTGGAACCTCACCATCTCCGATCCCAGATCGGCTCCTCCCCTGTTCTCCGGCGGGGCGCTGCCACCGTGACGTCGGCGTAGAGACCCTGGATCATGCTACAGCGGAACATACCTGAAGGGCACCAGTGGGAGAGAAAGGATCATGCAAGGTCGGAAGTCCACAGCATGCCCCCTCCCCCTCCCAAGCCCTGCTTGACAGGGAATGCCGGGGACTGAGAGTCACATCGGGCCTGCATCGGAATACTTCGCCTCAAATCCCCATCCCACCCCGTGACCGTGACCGTGACTGTGACCGGGGGTTGCATGGCTACCTAATTACGACGCGATGTCCGAATGGCAATATCATTTGCCGGGCCATGGCCGCTCCTGCAGTTCCGTGATGGTCAGGCGCAAGGCTGCTCGTGCTGAACTCTGTGATTGGAGTTGGTGCGGCAGCGGAGCAAACTTGAGGGAATGGGATCGACTTTTCTTCTTTTTCTCTTGCAATTCCGGACGCAGACAGCATTCGCCGCGGAATTTGCATTCGACCTGAGTGGTCTGATGCAGCCCAAAGTCACCCGGTTGGTCCTACGCAGCTGCCTTTCTCAACACCTCCACCGACTCGTTTTGCGCCGTAAGGCAGAGGCTGTGAGAGTGATTTCAATGCGGTCGGGGATGTAAGAGATATACCCGTCCGCCCAGCGGGTGGACATATGACTCATGACAGCATGCTCGATGTATCTGCTTTGCAGACCTGATCTGCCTGACTGGTTGCCTACTGCCTATCCGCTGAGCTTTACTTCAGTGTCTTAAGTATTATTGCCGATCCTCCTGCCCAACATTAGTGCTTGACTACCATCAAGATGCATGGCTTGGCTACGCTCTGCAAGTGTATTGGTTGGTTCCCAGTTTCAACAGTGCAAGCACCGAACTGCGTCTAAGGCGTTGATGTGGCTTGCCAAGTCGTCTTGCAATCCTTGTTCCTTAACATATGTATCAAGAACTATACGTAGTAGATACCGTCAGAATATAATCGGCTGTAGCAATATAGATCGACAGTAAATCTTGGCACAGCCACTATCCGCTAGACCAAAGATAACATATATCACACTAAGTATACAATGATTGACGAAAATCCAATGTCATGATATCTTGTAGCTGAGTAGTAATCCCTTCATTATTTAGTTAGTTAAAACATCTCCTACTACTCCGTACCTACAGATGCGTCGACAGTAAACAAAGCGTCCTATTGGCTTTGTAGATAGGTTAAGTGGACCCTACCCATCAACCTTCTCCGCGATAATGACCTACAGTGGAATTCTAGCAGAATCCCATCAAAACCAGACAATAAAACCATATATCGTTATAACTATACAACAGCATGCAAAATGCCAAACCTCCTCCACCTCCCAACAGAAATCCTCCTCAGCATCTACCACAACACATCCAACATCGACGACGTGCTGCACCTGGCGCGAACATGTCGGCAGATGCACGCGATTTTCAACGCGCCGCGGAATCGCGTTGAGATCTTTCGCTCGGTTATAGTATGCATCCTCCCCATCTATCCCCTTCACTAAGACATCAATAATTTATTCATACTATCCCACGTAAAGCCTACAGTAATAAACCACATAACTAACAAATCCAGAAAAACACCCCCCACCACAAAACAGACCACCAAATAAGCTACCTCCAAGATCTCCACTCAACCCTAGAGACACTCTACGGCGCCAACAACAACCTAACAATGGGTTTCCTACGCCCGTCAGACAAGATCTTCACCCACGTAGACTCCCTCCTAGACAGTGACAAGTACATGTCAGACCAATTCGTCTGGGACACAGTTGCCCGGTGGCACGGTATGAAAGTCCTCTTTTTCGGGCTGTACTGCGATGAGTCCGTGCACGCGTCCTACGTCAACTCCACCCCGCCAAGAGCGCAGTTCAAGGAGTCGAATCGGTATCGGGATCGACTTGCTGCTGAGGCGCCGTTGGATCCCCCAGCTGGTGTTACTATCCCGATTGATAGTGCGGAGCGGAAGAAGGGGTGGCGCGCCTACGAGCGCTTCTACCAAGCCCTAACGCTCCACTGGGCCGTCATCGAAACGCTCTGTCTAGCGCGCGCAGCATCGTACTCTTCCAGCGCCGAGCGCAACGCGCGCTTCGAGCACATCTGGACGCAGTGGACGGATACGGGGAGTTCGCGAAGCCTTTCGACAAAGGTCGACGTGCTGGAGGTAGTCGAGTTCGTGTGGGGGTATCTCGGGCGAAAGGTATTTCAGGAGAAAGACGTGATTGTGACGTGGGTGGGTGGGACGAGTGCGTTCGATGAGTTCTGCGATGAGGAGGAGCCGGTGGGGACGAACTGGATGTATTTTGTGCGGTGTATGATGCGGTATTTGCGGCCTCCGCATATACTGGAGCTGCTTTTGGGGGTTGTGTGGAGGAAGGATCGGGAGGGGGAGGGAGAGGGGATGGATAGGGTGGAGTATCTGAGACGGGTAGGATTCTTCGATGAATCCGCTGGGGTTGTGGAGAGGGAAGATGAGGAAGAGTCAGATCCAGATACGATGTTCAATATTGGGGGGTTGCAGGAGGATGTTGCGGTGGGGTTGGAGGCGTGGGCGGAGGGGTATGAGGTAGATGTTGATACTGAGGCGCAGTGGGAGGTGTATCGGGATAAGTTGTGGGGGGCGGAGATGCGTGGACGGGTGCTGTTTCGGGAGGAGAGTGAGGAGGGGTTGTTTGGCAGAGTTACGGGGGATAGAGAGGAGGGGACTTCCAAAAAGAGCTAATATTGCTGATAATGGTGGCCGTGCTGGTGGGCTTGAGTAGGGGACATATCGAGGTTGGTATTGGCCCAAGGCGAGGCATGCACGGCAAGTAGATAATAGATATAGACAGATAGAGACATAATACTAGCAATCACAATTTACAATGCCAACGCAACAAGAATAGTTACAGTATCATAAATCATCAACTCACAGATCAAGGCAAATCAAGGCCGTACACTAACCTTCGTCCCATTCCGTGAACAGAGCGTCAACGTCAGACTCTCCTCCCAAGGTCCAGGATCGCGGCTCTCGAGCGTCGCAAACCGCTGCGCCAGACGCACAGTGACATAGCCCGCCTCCGTCAGCGCGTACTGCTGCCCGACGCAGATGCGCGGGCCGCCGTTGAACGGCAGATACTCCCAGCCGGGACGGATGTCGGCCCATCGTTCCGGACGGTACTCGTTGGCGTCGGGCCCGTAGATGTCTTCCCGTCTGTGCATGGAGTACACGCTGTAGGCGACGATTGTGCCTTTGGGCACGAAGACCGGGGACTTGCCGTCGGGGCCGCCGCCGACGGGGAGGACCGTGTCGGCTACGGCTAGGCGGGAGTTGGACGGGACGACGGGGTGGAGGCGAAGGGCTGGTATATGTTAGTGTGGAAATTAGGATGGTTGACTCATTTTCGGGGGTTGCTTACATTCGTTCATGCAGTATTTGAGATAGGTCAGATTGCGGAGCTGTTCGTAGGTAGGGGCGCGACCGTCCAACGTGGCGATCTCCTCGCGCAGTTTGTTCCAGATGCGCGGGTTCTTGGCTAGCATGAAGAACATGTTGCTCAGTAGGGAGGCGGTGGTGTCGCGCCCGGCGAGGAGAACATTCATCAGTTCGTCGCGGATGCGACGGCGGTCGCCGGTCTGGCGCGCCAGTCCAGACAGGAAGTAGTATCGACCGTTGGACTCACCGGCGCCGGCGGCCTTCTCCTCGTCGTAGCGGTCGCGCACCTTCATGGCCTTGTCGACGAACTCGTCGACCATCTCGTGGCAGACGCGGTTGCATTCGTCGGCCTTGGAATTCCGGTAGAAGCGACGCAGGCCGCCCAGACGGGCTTTGATGGCCGTCGCGTCCTGGGCGTAGTTGAAGGCCTCGGCGAAATCGGGCTTGCTGTCGTCGTTGACGCGGGAGAGGCGCTTCTTCAGACTGTGGACGCTGTGGCCGAAGAGGAACTCGGTGGCGGAGTCGATGGTGTAGCCGAAGAAGAGATCCTGCAGATCGACGGTGCTTCCGTCGGTGGGGATCAGGTCGAAGAGGTCCGCCATGAGATCCTCGAACAGGTCGAGGTGGGCGACCTGGTCCTTGACGAAGTTGGGGCGGATCATGGCACGCGACTGCGCCCAGTGGGCGCCATCGGTGGTGAAGATGCCGTGGCCGAGCAGGGGGCCAAAGGACGAGATGCGGTTGCCGAGGCTAAAGTCCTTGAACTTGAGGGAGAGGATGGTCTTGACGATGAGCGGCTCACAGGTGAAGATGAGGTTGGTGCGGATGCGGGTGCTGGCAAATGTGTTGCCGAAGAGACCGAACCGCTTGATCGCGCGGTCCAGCATGACATGATCTTTGCCGGCTTGTATCATGCTGTAGATCTCGTCGAGGCCAAAAAGGGGATCCTTGCCCATGATACGCACGGGGGGGAGACAGTTGTTCTCCCGCGCCATGCGGCGTTGGGCCCATTTGCGCTGGAGGACGGAGACGAGGTAGAGCAGGGCCACTACGGCGGTCGCAATGACCGCCACTGGCGAGTGGATGCTCTCTAAAATCATGTCGCTTTGTAGGCAGTTGACAGTGAGGTGGTTTGAAAAACCTTGTCCAGGGGTGTGATTTTGTACCCCAAAACCTGACTGCTGGGTGGATCGGGGTTTTATAACGCTAGACCGATGAAATCAGAGTTGCATGGGGTACAGGCAATAGTTGGACCGAGCAGGAATTATGCTAAGCATAACCCGGCAACCTTAGGGATCGGCGCTCAGACTTGGTGCAACCAGTTGTATTTCTTTGATTATTTGAGTAAATCGGCCGAGGCCGAAGTGGAGGCATCTGGGCCGCTCAGGGATGGCATCCCTGTTAGGCATTTTGTAAGGTACCGAGTTATGCACTTTCTGATGATGACAATGGATATTCTGGAAAAAAGACACGAGAAAGGAGAGACGAAGAGAAGTGAGGAGAAAGAGAGATAGAAGTGAAGCCAAAGAGAAAAGAAGAAAGATCACATGTTTGTGCCTGAGTTATGCATTCCAATTATGCGTTATGCTGATGATATAATCTCGGTCGGGGATATGAATCTCCCCGTTATGACGTATGCGGAGACACTCAGTCCGAACACCGAGTTTACTCTCTACAGACAGAAGACTCTGGACAAGAGTTGTAGGCAGAAGCCAATATCAAGTTCCTTCACTAGTCTGAGGCGGGTGAACCAAGCCCTCCTCCGTATATTCGTACCGGGTCTCTTGGTCCTGCAGGATTGTCAGCCTAACTATTCCCGTACATAACTGTAATCAACTCACCCAATATCGGTCAAATCCGACCCCTTCGCACATCTCCGAATACCCCAGGATCTGCGGTGGCGGCGTCCCATCCACCATACTCCGCTTCAACCCCTCCAAGGCATCCCGAATACTCTTCAACCGCGCAGCGACCAGCGTCCACGGATACGCGACCGCAGCGAACCCCATCCGAGCGAGCTCCCCAGCAGGGAGATTCTCCGTCTTGCCGCCCTCGATGATATTCGCCAGCATAGGCATGTCCAACTCCCTGACGCACCGCGTCATCGCGTCCCTGTCCGGAAGGGCCTCGACGAAGACGGCATCGGCCCCAATGCGCTTAAACTCGGCGGCGCGCGCCATCGCCTCGTCCCACCCGTGGATCAAGGCGTCAGTGCGCGCCAGGATGAAGATATCCCGGCCTTCGTTGCGCGCGTCACATGCAGCCTGGATGCGCGCGTAGGCCTCGCCTCGCGAGACGACGGATTTCCCTTTTGTGTGACCGCATCCTGACAGATTACATTAGCTACCCTTGAACACAGCCCAAATAGGTTGATAACGGGAACTCACGCTTAGGCCAAGTCTGATCCTCAATCATAACGCCCGCCGCGCCCGCCGCAGCGAAGGACTCCACCGTACGTCTAACATTCATAGGACTGCCGTAGCCCGTGTCGCCGTCAGCCATGAGCGGAATGGACGTGACGCGCACGATCTCCTGGATGCGAGCGCACATCTCCGCCATGGCGATGTATCCCGTGTCGGGGAGGCCGAAGGAGCTGGCGACGGCGAAGCCAGACAGGAAGAGCATGGGGAATCCGGCCTCCTCGATGAGTCGCGAGGAAAGCCCGTCGTAGCTGCAGGGGAAGGCGAGGATTTTGGACGGGTCGCGATGGGCTTCGCGCATCATGGCGCGGAGGCGTGATGTTTGAGGGGAGGGGGTGTGTCCTTTGACATTTTGGTTGGATTCGGGAGTGGATTGGGAAGAGGAGGGATTGAAGGGATACGGGGTGGTCATGGTCGTCAATGGTCTGGTTAATTGCGATGCGGTTGTTGAAGGGGGAGTGTCAGAATTGGTCGTTGAGGGGCATGTCGTCATTCGCCGATCGTTGCCGTCTGTTGTCCATACTGTAAACACCACACTGCATCGGCGTCCTGGGTTGACATGGACATATACATGCGATGCAATTGCCTAATTACGTCTATACAAATGATCACCAGTCCACTGAACGGTACACATTTACATGCATAAGCAATCTACATCATTTTGGAGAATAATGTCGCCTCACAACCATACAAGTCATGCCCATGTGATAACCCTGATCTCAAGACACTCGTCTAATGACCAGGGCCTGCCGTCTAACTATCAGATCAAGCCGTTATTTTCTATATAATGTATCAGAATCTATTGAGCAGACATTCTCTTTTGGACCCATGATCTGATCAAGGGCAATTCTACTGTCAGGGACCACACTAAGAAAGCATATATACCGTACTCGATGTTGCTTTATCAGTCATCAACCAGATCAAAACATGCAACAATATTGACAATATGTCGCAGTTGGGAGACTGAATCTCCTCAGTTTCGTCCGTACTTGTTTTACTACAAGTAAGAGGGCGTTGAACCTTGAGATACATAGGTGTGATGCAAATCAACCACGATACGACAGACCATGATGACACTGAAACGTTACTCTACCTGTACTCAGCTCTAATTATTCTATGAACTACATAAGAAGATTCTAACAAATCCCCACATTCCTCAATTTTCCCCTCCCTTACTGTTCCAACTACAACCAACAGATCCAACATTCCCAACACAGGCAAAGAATGTTGAAAACAGCCCTACCAGTCAATCCTCCGATTCGAAACCACTATTCGACCATCCATGGTTCATTCTCCTCCAATTCAGGTTTCTCTCTCTTTCTAACACTACACCCGAAGGAAGTCACAGTAGGAATTGCAGTAGGCCGGGTAGTAGTGGTTCTGCACAGTGGATGGATGCCGGTTTCGGAAGGACTCCACACTGGCCATGATCTGGGGTTTGAGTCGCATTGGAGTGACAATTCTTTGATCTCTGGTTTACCGTCACTTGAATGTAACTCTAGTGGATTGGATTGTCTGGGATGGATGTGGATCGGTACCTTACTTTTTTAAGGTAAGGAGTAAAGAGTGAGTTTGGTCAATAGTTTAGCCTACCAGTTTTCTTCTTGTCAGAAAGCAGACTTTTTCTCTGGTACAGAGTGTACTCGAGAGTGTCGAGTCATGTTCAGTCAATCTATGGTTTACTTTAGCACTACAATAATGACCAATACAAATTATTAAACCAGAATTAATAACCAATCTAAACGAACGACAATTTACCATATAATAGGATCCTAACTTCTAATCTAAAAGACAAGTGAGAAGAAAAATAGTAATAATCAAAAGGATCTCAAAACGCCCCGAATCTCTTTCCACCACAGTAGTAGTACAGTAGGAGTAGTATGGATAGGATCAAGTAAGGTAAGGAAGGAAGGAGGCAAAATTAGACCGCCACAACAACAGCAAACATCAGCACAACAATGCCAAACACCGACCCAGTCAGCTGGGTAGCACCGCTAGTAGCGAGCGGCACGGAAGCCGACGACGAGGCGGAGCCCTCGGACTTGCCGGAGCCAACGCCGGAGCCAGAGCCTTCAGAGGACTCGCTGCCGGAGGTGGGGTGAGAGGAGACGGCTGCCTTGGTGGACGAGACGACGATGGAGGAGGCGCGCGCGGACGCGAGCGTGGGGGCGCGAGAGACACCGGAGCTGACGGGGACGTTGGGGCGGCCGGGGTGGGCGGTAGTCTGGGTGCTGGGGATGACGGCTGAGGAGGACACTCGGGAGGTTCCGGCTGAGGAGCCCGAGCCCGAGGAACCGGAGCCGGCGGCGCCAGTGGATGAACCAGAGGAGGCACCGGAAGAACCGACGGCACCAGCGGACGAACCAGTGGATGAGCCAGACGAACCAGCGGACGCGCCGGTGGACGAGCCAGTAGACTGGTCAGAGCCAGAGGCCGAACCGGTAGAGCCAGCAGAGGAGCCAGTGGATTGGTCGGCGGAGCCGGAAGAGGAGCCGGCGCCAGTAGAGCCAGCAGCCTGTTCAGCAGAGCCAGACGAGGAACCAGAGCCAGTGGATGAGCCAGCGGACGAGCCGGTAGAGTCAGCGCCAGTAGAGCCAGCGGCCTGTTCAGC